TATATATATATATATTAAAATTTTAAAATTATTAAATTTTTAATGAGAAAGACTAAAATTGCACAATTATGATATTTGAGAGATTAAAATTGTTCAATTAAAAATTGTGAGACTAAAATTACACAACTATAATCTTTTAAGGACTGAAATTACTCAATTAAAACTTTAGAGATCAAAATTGCATAATTATAATATCAAAAACACAATTAAGTAAAGAATATTTTATTCACAGTTTTGGAACGGGCCATTCTGAGAACGGGACGTTCTGGTTTCAGAACAGCCCGTTCTGCTTCACTGATGGTGTTTTAATTTTGCAACCAGAGCGGCCCCTTCCGGTTTCAGAACGGGCCGTTCCGGTCCAGGTGTTTTCAAGAAAAATTCTCATCCACGTGGATGCCACGTATGCATTTACGTGGCATCCACGTGGCTAAAAGTTAACTCCGTTTAAATAATTTAGACGGAAGTCCCACATTGAAACCAATTAATTAATTTGGGACTAAATTGAAACCAATTAATTAGTTTGGGACCAAATTGAGACCTAAAATAAAAGTTGGACTACATTGAAACAAAAAAAGATTATAAGGACCAAAATAGCGTTTTAGCCTTTATTTTATTTTTTTTCAACAATCCTATTTTTAGATTTTTTTCTTCTAATTACATCCTTTTCAATCACGAGGATAAATAACTAGTTTCTGTTGATATAAATGATTTGACGATGTGTGGCGAATAAAGGAAACCACCACGTGGCAAATAACTATCTTGCTTTCCAACCTTACTTTCCAACCTTACTTGCGTGAAATGAAAAACAAACTTATTAATCATTATGAATTAATTAACTCCTATATATAAAATATAAAATTCTATTTTATATAAGAGTAATTTTAAGAATTTTTTTTAATGAATTTGTAAGAATTTTTTATTATTATTTAATTTAATTTTTATTTATCATAATTATTTATTAATTAAATATTAATATTTTAAAACAATTTATCTATATATAAATTTTTTTATAATATAGATTATTGATTATAAATCTAAAATATAATTTATACGTTTACAAATATTTATGTATACTTATTTAAATATAGTTAATATAGTATTTTTTTATAATACTAGTTTCATATGCACCTCGACTTTCACATTGGATAGTTTGCTGATTATATGATGGCATAGAAGAATCAATTGTTGGTTCTGTTATTTTTGGCATGATCATCAAAACTTTGGAACCAAGTTAGAAGTAGTAAGAGAAGTATGTTAATTTGACATTAAAGTGGTACAAAGTGGGGCAAAAGCTAGAGAATGACAGCAGAAACTAGAGAGAAAATATCGTTTACTGGTCGAGAGAGAAAAAATAATGTTATAATCAACGGCAGGGACACTCGCTGACAGTTTCGAAATACATCAATTTCTGAAACGACTCCATCTTCGATCTTTCTCAAAGGAAATAAAATGCCTAATTTAAACTCTCGGACATGTAGTACATACATCGTCGGATGAGTGCAACAAGACGTGCATATTTTACCACGCTTTGCTGAAGCTTCTATTGATGACAAAACGTCATATACTATTCAAAATTTTCCAAATATGTAGATCCATTGTTTTATGAAATCCAGAATCCCAGAGTTGGCATTAATATTGAGAATAAATTTCGTCATTATTCCATGTAAGCTTTCTTTAGACCAATAATCAGAAGGCTTCCGTAGAGTTTAGGAAAAGATTGTCACGTAAAATGCAAGACGTATTACGTAAATTAAACCAACCTGCGTAGAGCAAATTGTATAGATTAATTTTGACCATCAGGTTGCATGATTCAAATTACCTGACCCTTTTGTAGTCTCATTTCAAATTCCCTCAATAAGAACTTGACACAATTGAAATATTACCCGTCATTATACTCTCTGCCTGGCGTAGTTATTTCCTCTATGCATCTCTTTCGTTCCATTGAGCATTGAGGTATGGTTGGTCTTTTTATTTTGGGTAATATAAGTTTTATTAGAATAAGACTCCATGTAAGACTAAAATCAATCACATCAATAAAATTACATATCATTTACTCTACTCTGAGTGCTTCACAGAAAAAAAAATAATAATAATAAAAAAAATAATATATATATATATATAACACAAGAAAAACTAAGAGCGAATAGACTTAACCAGTTGTGACATCCTAATTGCAATTGATTGGGGGTTTGGTTTAGAAAAGAAAAAGATAAAGGAATGGGAAGTGAAGAATCCCTGCCCAGCCAATAAGAAACAGCCTTCCTAGCAACAACCAACCTGACTAACACCAACACCTTAACATTAGTCCCTTAATGACTCCTTAAAATGATGTATTTCCATAGACTTGGCAAAGAGCAGCTTCGTGGAACAGCTAACCCAAACAAACAATTGAAAAGGAGCATTTTTTTTTTCAGATAATGCTACTTCCGAGTAATGTTCTCAGCGAGCATATGAATCTGGACCAAGACCTTAGCAAAATCAACTGTTGCCACCCCAAATTGAAGCTCCTAATGATACTCCAACTTGTAACTGCCAACAGTCTTGGAAGAGAAGGAAGGCATGAGGTTAAACAAACTAGATTTTGTGAGAAACATATATATATAGTGGGGCTTTGGATTGGTGTCAAAGAAGAGACTACAGCCTATATTTTAAAACAAGAGCATAATAATGAGATAATTTGGCAGAGGAAAAAACCATGTGCAATATTTAACTGACATGTCATGAAGGAAATGATGATTTGTGTCCAATATTAAGAATGATAAACAAATACAAATATGGCCCATAAAACATTTAAAATTCGTGACATCCATGATGCATAGCCACCACGGAACTATAACTCAAACTCCAGTTCTAGTAAGTAAGAAAACAAAGCATCGACCTTGTTTCATACCCAAGAATACAAAAACATATTAGTCTGCCTAACCTAGAAGAATAAAGAAAATAAAGGGAACAGCTTTGCTAAATTCCACAAAGCCAACATGGCACCAAAGAAATGCTTTGCTAATCTAATATGGGAGCAAAAAGGTGCAGACTATATTGCCAATCCATGGTAAAAGAAGTCAAAAGCAAGCACAAGTCACAAATTAGTTGTCTATGGATCTAACAGTTAGCAATTTATCAAAATCAAACAGATTATCATTTTACAATTGCTAATAAACCAAGTCCACCACTAACACAGGAACCATTCAGTCACATCTCAGCAGAAAACATGGTACCCTATATGCATCAGAGATAGAGTGAAGAGCCAAAACTACCAGGTCTAATATCTATAATGATAATAGAAGAAAGCTTCGTACCGATTAAAAGTCATTCAAAGTGACAAAACTGCAATAACTCGCAATACAAAATGCGAAGAATCTGAATTACTTTAAAAAGAGGTGTCGAAGTCGAACAGCATTAGTATGGACTACTATAAGTTCCTTACATAATATAGTCTCCAAATAAATGCAAAACGCCACAGCTTCAAAAAGCATTGTTTTCGGATAAATAAAAATAAAAAAGAAAAACTAATTAATTGGATAACCCGAACTGAGGCAAAGCAAGCAGCTTAGAATCCAAGCTTGGTGCGACGCCAGTGGCGACGCTTAGCGTTGTACCTGGAAGAAACGTAACGGAAGCGTTAGCGCGAAAAGAGAAGCGTAACGGTAAGGGAAGCGTGAATAGGGTGAAGGTGGAGGTAGGTAGGTACCTGATGGTGTTGTCGGTTCTCATGCGGATCCAGTAGGGGATGGGCCTGTTCTGCCTCATCTTCTTCGCCAACTTCTTCTTGATTCTGAACGTCTTATGCGACGGCTGCACACAACAACAAATCAAATCACAAAATGCACAATTACGAATCGAAGGTTAGAGGGTGTGGTTTTCACTCATGAGTACCATTTTCCCTTCGTCTTCTGGGTGCTCGACTGCGCCAAGTGCCGAAGAGATAGCGATCCACCGAAACCCTAATAAACAAACCCTAGGAGAGTCGTCCACTGGCCCTCCTTTTATACTTATACCTATCACTGTAAACTCTAGCATTATTGTTTTTTATTATTTTCAATAATTGAATATAAAATTTAAATACATTACCAAAAAAATATATATATAATTAAATATACTTTATTTTCAAATTTTAAATATTATTTCTCTGTATCAATTTTAAATTTTATTTAATATTTTTTAACTTATTTATTTTTTTAATATACCATTTTTTTATATTTATTTGAGTATTTTAAAATTTTCATTTTTAATATATTATTTTTTATGTACTTTTTAATATTTCTAACTTTTTTTTTATATCATTTTGAATATATCATTGACGTGTTTATTTTAATATACATTTTAGAAATAATTATTAATAATTAAAAAATTATATCATAATATAAATTATTTATTATATAAATTTAAAATATAAATTTAAAAATAAGAATAAGTCAAGTTAAATTAAATTTTAAATAGATAAATCAGGCTTATTTTATAAAATTAAAATATAAGTCTAATTTATTATCTATCATAACTATTCTTTTTATAAGTCTAGTCTAATCTTTTTAAAATCTTAATTCAATCAATTATCTTATTTAAAAGTTTATTATGTATTAACAATATTAAAAAGGTCAATAAATTTAATTTAAAATAAATTAACAATCATATTTTTAAATATACATATAAGTTTTTTTAAAAAAATTGTATGATAATTTTGTATTTTTTTGATAAAAAATAGATTAATCTATTATTATTAAAATTAAAAAATAAAAAATAAAACCTAACTAAGAGATAAATCATTTATACTCATTTACACTAATGTATACTTACACACAAACCATAATGAGAAAAGATAATTTATCATAAAGAAAATTTGTATATTTCATATACCTCATTTGAAATACTCTAAATAACTAACTAAGAAGATGAAGAAGAAAAAAAACACATAAAGATGTGACTTTTAAAACTTTTATTTTTGATTTATTAATTTTATATGAATAAAGAATATAAAATGTTTAAGTGTAGTTAAAATATAAAAAAAAAGATTGATAATTTAATTTTTATATTACAAAATTATTTATTTAATTATATTGTTAATATATATATATATATATATATAATTTTACTATTATATAATATATATAT